TAGTAGTAGTAGTAGTAGTAGTAGTAGTAGTAGTAGTAGTAGTAGTAGTAGTATCATCATCATCATTATCAGTATCACATTGTTATTATTATTATTATTATTATTATTATTACAACGACAACAAAAACAACAGCAATAACAACGACGACGACAACAACAACAACAACAACAACAACAACAACAACAACAACAACAACAACAACGACAACAACAACAACGACAACAACAACAACGACAAGTGTACATCTACTTTGAATCTCTCCTTCAGAATGTCCTGTCCCACTCCGCCCCCCGCCGCTGCCCCTCCATGGAGTACAGCAACTGTAAGTGTGTCGTGTCGCCCCACATGACCTCCCACAAGTCCAGGCCGGACAGAACAGGCCGAGAACTGCTGGTCGGCTTTCTGGGGAGTCTCGTCGGTCTCGGTGAGAGTCTGTGGTCTCAAACTAAACTCTCTTGTCTGAGAAAATGAGTGACGTCGGTCGCCTAGTGGTTAGGCTACCGGACTCGTAATCATGAGATTGCGGGTTCGGGGGTTCAAGCCTCAGCTCGGTCCGACGTTTTGTCCTTGGGAAAGGCACTTTACACGAACTTCCCACTTGGCTCGGTCCTATCGGAGACGGACGTTAAAGTAGGAGGTCTCGCCCCTTAAATAACCTAATAGTGTTGATAGGGGCGTTAAACCCATACCATTTCACCTTTTTTGAGAATATGAGAATCTGTTGTCTGAAACTGTCTTGTCTGAGAATATGAGAATCTGTTGTCTGAAACTGTCTTGTCTGAGAATATGAGAATCTGTTGTCGGAAACTAAACCCTCTTATCTGAGAATATGAGAATCTGTTGTCTCAAACTGTCTCGTCTGAGAATACCAGAATCTGTTGTCTCAAACTAAACTCACTTGTCTGAGAATATGAGAATCTGTTGTTTTTAGTTTTATTAAGGTTTTATGGCGCTCGCAACTGCATAAGGTCATATAATGAGCGCTAAGGGGTGGATGTCAATAGAGAAGTCCAAACGGGGAATTAAGCTTACTCTGCTCACCTCTCTAGTCTCAACAGCACAAAGTCTGCTTCGAATACCAAGGCACCCCGGAAATAGCTGTTCTCAAGAGAGTGACAACATACTAAAGAAGTAGAGGAACAATGACGATAGTAAGGATGAGGAAAGAAAAAGTAGCCGTTCCCCCTATTTTGTTCCGGCTCAGTATGAGCATAACATAGGTAAATCAGCCCATTTACAATTATTCATGTTAATATCCCCCCTTTGGGAATGGCCTAAAGACAAGTTCAGTCAGTAGCACTGCCCTGGTTGGGGGTGGGGGGGGGGGCGGGAGCCTGTTGTCTAAAACTCTCTTCTCTGAGAATATGAGAATATGTTGTCTGAACATAACTTGTTAGAGAATCTTTTGTATGGTCTTTTCATGTCTGAAAATCTTGTGTCTGAGAATGTAATGTTTGACTATTCTGTTTTCTGAGAATCTCTATGAATCTGAGAATCTGAGAATCTGATAATTTGAGAATCTGAGAAGTTATTGTTTGAGAATTTGTTATCTGAGATTGTCAGATAATCTGAAAATTTGTTGTCCGAGAATCTGTTGTCAGAGTGTCTGCTGTCTATAGATTTATGGTCTGGAAACAATTCTCAAAACGAGATGTCTGAAAATGGGTTGCCTGAAAATTATTAAGTTATAATTTATATGAAAATCTCTTGTCATCCATTGGCAAATGGTATCTAGTCCCGCTTCGAAAGCTCTTTCGTAACGCACCAGCATAGTCAAGTCAGTAAATTAAAACCTCAGGGAAAAAGGGGCAGCTACTACAGAAAAATCATTGAGGGCTACTATCTTTCTTTCTTGTACTTGTTGTTAGCTTTTTCAGGAGTTGGACATTGCTTCTGGGATCATCCTGTAATATAACTCTCCGTCACTTGTCATTCTACCTCCTGGGGTTGTTTTGGTTCCAACCTAGGCTTCTATACATGAATTGTCATTGACATTCTAGATATGGATATGCGCTTACGTACACGTATTTGCTGTTGTCCGCTTCCAGGGTTGAGCGTGCCTACGTTCTTCCTGTTCCGGTCATGGTTACGTCGATGCCGCAGCCCCGGTGGTTTCAGGTGTAGCAGAAGGGTGAGCAAGGGGAACAAACCTGTCGGGGAACGCACCCGACGCTGGGTTGATGGTGAGTAAACTAACAGACGCTGGGTTGATGGGGAGTAAACTAACAGACGCTGGGTTGATGGTGAGTAAACTAACAGACGCTGGGTTGATGGTGAGTAAACTGAGGCTGTACGAGACGGTGGGTTGATGTTGAGTAAACTAACAGACGCTGGGTTGATGGTGAGTAAACTGAGGCTGTACCAGACGGTGGGTTGATGTTGAGTAAACTAACAGACGCTGGGTTGATGGTGAGTAAACTAACAGACGCTGGGTTGATGGTGAGTAAACTAACAGACGCTGGGTTGATGGTGAGTAAACTAACAGACGCTGGGTTGATGGTGAGTAAACTAACAGACGCTGGGTTGATGGTGAGTAAACTAACAGACGCTGAGTTGATGGTGAGTAAACTGAGGCTGTACCAGACGGTGGGTTGATGTTGAGTAAACTAACAGACGCTGGGTTGATGGTGAGTAAACTAACAGACGCTGGGTTGATGGTGAGTAAACTAACAGACGCTGGGTTGATGGTGAGTAAACTGAGGCTGTACCAGACGGTGGGATGATGTTGAGTAAACTAACAGACGCTGGGTTGATGGTGAGTAAACTAACAGACGCTGGGTTGATGGTGAGTAAACTAACAGACGCTGGGTTGATGGTGAGTAAACTAACAGACGCTGAGTTGATGGTGAGTAAACTAACAGACGCTGGGTTGATGGTGAGTAAACTGAGGCTGTACCAGACGCTGGATTGGATTTACTTGGATCCGGAGCTAGAATCATAGCAGGCGGCACATGTTCATAGCTGCTCATCTCTCCTTTCCAGCGTCCACCCCAGGGTTCTCCTGCCAATTGTCTCCATGAGTAGCTGGTTTGAGATACGCCTGACCACTCCTCGGAGCAAACATTTTTTCCCTGTGCCCTGCACACACTTTTCTTTCATTGTGCTGAGCGTGTGGGAGTCTGTCTCCTCTTGGTCGTGAAGGCTCTCCTTGCATCTGACGCTGGGGTGATGGAGAGTAAACTGAGGCTGTCACACGTCTGAGGATCACGCCACGGCTAGAATTGTAATTGTTATACCGGGTCGCCATTGCGGATGGGATCGGGTCGGGTCGATCGCTCAACTCGTCGCCTGAAATTCCCACGCCTTTGTTTTTGAGGCGACGAGTCGGGCGATCAGTTTGTGCTACAATAGCCGCTTTGGACCCTCGATATGGCTTGCAAACCAACCCGACCCGATCGTACCAATGGGTACCCGGTATTACAGTTTTACGCCCCCAGAGACACTATCTGGATCATTAGAATCTAGGCTATTTTGACCCTGCTAAATGTTCAGGTTGTAGGAACATGACATCACCACTTTTTCTCTTTTTGTCTTCATGTGTTTAGATCTATATGATATTAACTGCACAGAGATGAAGAGGGAGAGAGAAAGGGGGTGTGGGGGAGAGAGAAAGAGAGAGAGAGAGAAGGGGGGCAAAGAGAGAGAGACAGAGAGAAAGAGAGACAGAGACAGAGAGAAGTGCGGAGGGGTGGGATTGCAGTACGTGTTTTCATTTCACTTTTCAATCTCAATTTAGGACAATTGTCAAAACGCACAATAATATTATTCCCAAGAGGCTTCCATCTATTCATTTTTTAAAATTTCTGTTTGTGTTCATTACGCCCTTATCGACGAAATTTAGATCATTTCGAAGGCGGGCTTCACAGGGCCAACCCGGGCTGAGAAGGATTCAACATTCCTGCTCAAAGTCTGAGATACTCGATACAAAGTCTCCCCAATCGGGAAAAGAACTTAGATCTTCTACGTGCGACAGTGAAGCGCATCACCGCTACACCACAGACGCCGGTTCCGTATTCAGTGTCACTTGATGCTGCTATTGTATTTCAATAAGACTGATTGAGGTTCTCCTATGCCAAGTAATTAAGGTCCGTATCTGAGTATTTGTTACCTCTCAGTCTGAGTTGTCCAAACAGGAAACCTGCCTCCTAAATCAGCTAAATTGTGTCGATGAAAATGGTGTTTGGCAAAAATGGTATAGTTTTAACGCACTGTTCAATACTATTAGGTTATTTAAGAGGCGGGACCTCCGAGTTTATCATCCATCTCAGAAAGGACCGAGACAAATGAAAAATTGGTGTAAAATGCCATTCCCAGTTACACAACGCCTGACCAAGCTGAGGCTCGAACCCTCGAATCCACAATCTCATGATTTGGAGTCCGGTATTCTAACCACTGGACTATTAAAGCCACAAATTGTGTCGATGGGGGCATGAACACCTAGATTTGTTGTTGTTTTTTATATGGTCTTCTCTCTCGCAATCGCTACCAATTCCTACAAGTCGCTAACTCAGAATTTAACAAAGTTCTCTCTGACATTATTTTGGCCGTTTTGAGTTACTAAGACCATGAGGTCAGAAACCAAATTTTAATATTCTATCTGCTCTATCAAAATCGTAAGATTATTCAGAGTCATTATCAAGATATCAAGACATTCAAAGAATTGCATTAGAAAAAGCTGGACAAGGTGTGAAACTCAAAAATCTTTTACTTCAAATTTCTCAAAACTAGGTACTGTGCTGATAAAACTTTGTAATCCAGAGGCAGCGAAGTGACAGCTTACTCTGTGCTATTGTCTAGGTCACAATATGCCTGCTGTGGAGACCCCTTACCTCAGGAAAATGCCGCCTTCCGGTTTGAGCGGCGGAAGTGACGTGCGGAGTGTGGCAAGCGGCAAGACGAACGTGACCAACATCTACCGGGCCACGTTCAATGACGACAACATACATAGCACAGCGCCCAAGAAAAATCTGACGACGTATCGCTCTGGTGCCAAGGACTGGGGCTGATACTAGTCGGTTGAACAACGAGTCCATTTTCGTTTTGATAATGACAAGATTTTTCTATTCTATCCTCTTTTCATAGTTTTTCTTTTATCTTTTATTTCCGTATGAGTTTTCAGCACTTAGTTTTATTCATGATAGAATTGTGAAACATATGTCTAGATTTGTATTTCGTGCTGTCAACGTTAGTGTTGTTATATTGATCGTAAATATTTTGATAAGTAGTGTTGTAGTTTATTACAGAATTATTACGAGTATCATTATTATAATGATTATTGTGATTACCAAAACTATTACCATTCTAATCAATATCCTTAAACGCCTATTGTTGATGTCATTATTAATATTACAGTATTGTAATTTCCTTATTTTCCTGCTAGCCTACTGATGATTCTTGTGTCCATATTTAACTGTAAGAGCTGGCTGCCTTAGAACTACAAAGTTCTATCTGCTCAGTGCCTAGATTTGAGAAATCTGACGTATAAAATGTTGAGTTTCACATCTGTCTCGCTTTTCCTAATCTGTCCCCGAGGTTTTATGCACCCCGCATAATTTAGCCAAATTTGAATCATTTTTTTGCATAATTTCTGATTATTTTTCTTTATCATTCTTTGTTAAAGTTAAAATTGACAGAATCGTGTAATTTCACATGTTTGGGCTCAGTTTGATACTTTATTATGATGATGAAAGGCAGTGATTTGACGAAAAACAAACTTTGTTGGAATCAACTTTTGTCCTCTTCTTTATTATTAAATAGTATAACAAGTAATAACCGTATTCCTGTTACCTTTACATACGTACACATACACACACACACACACACACACACACACACACACACACACACACACACACACATACACACACACACATACACACAAACACACACATACACTCACACACACACACACACATACATACACATACAAACACACTCAAACACTCATACACACACACACATTTTTTTCTCAGTGTATGTGTGAGAAGGGGAGGGAGGGAGGGAGAGAGAGAGAGAGAGAGAGAGAGAGAGAGAGAGAGAGAGAGAGAGAGAGACAGACAGAGACAGAGACAGAGACAGAGACAGAGACAGAGACATAGACAGAGAGAGAGAGAGTTATTTAATTTTATAAGCGAAAAGGTTTAAAGAGACTGTCGAAAAATTCATCAAACATTTTTGACAAATTAGGATTCGAGAGAGAAGAAGGTCCAGTGACTTGCAACTTTGGGAGGTTGCGTCGGGCAGTGTTCACGTAAAAGCAAGAAGTGTACAGCCAAAAAAAAGTAGATCTACTTTATGCAAATTCAGTGACGTGTTTAGCTTCGATAGCTGACTCCAGAGGTTGTTCTATAAGAGAGTCATCGTTTTGTTTTAAACATGAAACAATACGTCCTTAGCTTAAACGGAGTAAGCTAGAAGATGCTGTTCATGGGAGCTTTTTTCATGGACTAGATCTAGTATGTGTCTACACAACGAGTATGAGCTCGGGATTTCGTAAAAGAACGTATGTTTGAGAAACGAAATATAAAGAGTTGTGGGTTCGGGGGTTCGAGCCGTGGGCCTGACGTTGTGTCCTTGGGAAAGGCACTTTACACGAATTTTCCTCACTTCACCCAGGTGGGAATGGATACCCGGCCATAGACAGTAAAAGGTCTTTTCAGTATGTTAGTATTTTAGCGCCCATAAATGGCCGCTTGTACTGTATGCTTCCCAGGAAGTTGAGGTTGTTTCAGAATGCTCTCAGGTCTGCTGGTGTAATAGTATAGATTGTGAAGCGCATAGAGCTTGCTGTTGAGCGGGGATTTGTGCTATACAAAAGCTATCTATTATTATGTATCACCACATATTATCAACGTCCGTGGCGATATCTTTAAAAACTCGTAAGTGGCAGGGTACGCCATTCCCTCGGGTGATGTGTCTTGTCTGTAACAAATATTTGTCAACATCACGACATGCAGTATAATCCGTATTGCTGGATTGTCTCACTTATACACAAGGCCCACTCAGTGGACAGTTGATTCAAATGCTCCCCATGTTCATGTCTCTTGCACATATACCTTTCTGTATATATTTTAGACACCTACCTACAACTTCTGATTAATCCAATTACCTGGTGAGAATGTGCTGTACAAAATGGTCACGTGCCCTGTGGATTAAATGAGTCTATAGGCCCTTTATGCCAGAAAACATGCTCTTTGTTCACAAGAAAGTTCTCTGTTTTATTACGTATCTTGTGTATTGTTTCTTGACAAAAAGTTCTTCCTTATTACTTATCTTGTGTATTGTTTCTTGACAAAAAGCTCTCTCTTATTACTTATCTTTTGTCCTTTATAATGAGATTTGCGACCTGCGTCTGTGGTGTAACGGTTAGAGACGCTTTGCTGTCGCATGTGGGAGACCCGAGTTCGATTCCCGAGTGAAGAAAAAATTGAATCGAATATCTCATCATCAGTATTTCATCTGAAATGTTGTATACCTTTCAGTCCGAGTTAGTTCTGACAGGAAGGCCCAAAAGCCCGCCTCTTGAACAATCTAAATTGTGTAGATGAGGGACAAAAAAAACACTTATATTTTAATAAATGTTTGAGATAATTGTGTCCATTTCCGTGGCTAGGTCTTACAACCTGAGCATACTTTTGGCTTTTGCTTTTAGGGCCATCCGGTCTAGCTTTCCGCTGACGTTGAAGGGCAGCGCGTCGAGGAACAGGAAATATCCAGGCATTGGGTTCAGCTCGCCGTTCTCCGAGTTGATGAAGAGTTTCTGGCAAAAGCCCCTCAGTTCTTCTTCCGTCAAGCTGGCTCCTTGCTCTCTGATGACGCATGCGCACAGCTCCTCGTGCAGAACCGGGTCCGGGACGCCAGCCACGGCCGCCCCCGCAACTCCTGGACACTGCAGGATGCGCTGCTCCATCTGATCGGGGTAGATGACAAACGGCCCTCTGAGAATGGCGAACTTCTTACGGCCGACGACAAACAACTCTCCGCCATCATTCTTGACCCCAGAATCACCCAGGCGGATCCAGCCATGGTCTAGGAAAGTCTCTCTCGTGCTGGCATCGGCATTGACATACCTCATGGAGGACTGGCTCGTCTTCAGGAGAATTTCCCCCCGCTGTCCGTTAGGAAGTTCACGCAGGTCGTCATCAACGACCTTGACCTGTGTCCCAGAAGTTGGGAGGCCCACGCACATGTCTTCGTACGCGCTGGGCTCCGTCACTTTCTTAGTAGTGGGAATTCCCGCTTCAGTACACCCGTAGACGGCCAACACCGCGTCTGCTACAACACCAATGGCCTTCATGTGTGCCCTGCTCACTGGGCCGCTGCCTACCCCACAAATATGCAGCCTATACCCGCCTATGTCTTTCTTGGCGGCCTCTCGGACAAGCGCACCCAAAGAATGCGGGACAGTGTACATTTTAGTGCAGCCTTCTCGGACTAGCAGGTCGAGCATGAAATCTGGGTAGTTGTGGTGACGTCCGAGAGAGTTGTCCGTACAGACACGGGTACATCCGGTAGCTACATACATTACTGGGTACCCTCCCATCCACCCCAGGGGCCTGTCGTTGCAGTAAATGTCGGTCTCCTTCATCTCCAGTGTCTCCGCAAATCTGTGGCCATACTCCAAGAGACGCTCGTGGTTAAACTCGACAAGTTTGAAGAAGCCTGTACTTCCGCTTGTGCACATATATGCGCAGACGTCATCAGGCTTTAAGTCTGCCGCGACAGTTTCCGTTCCCGCCTTTAAGTCGTCCAAAGATAGACTTTTCTCAATCCCGTTCAAAGGGGAAGCAATTTTCTGTGACCCATCCCGCCTGACATCAAAGGGAACGATCATATCTAAGCTCGGGATATCCGGAAATGACAGTTTACGGTTTTCATCAACGCGCCATTTTGGTTCTAGTATGCTGATGGCTCCCATGGCCTCACTAGGGTCGAGAATAACGGCCTTGGCTTGACCTTTGTTGAGAGAGTGGACAAAATCCTCACCGTCCTTCATCACGATCTGACCGTTCATGTCCACAGCGCCGCATGTGACTGTGCCGAGCTGAGCTAAAGAAAGAAAGACAGAGGGGGGAAATGTGAACCAAAACTGGGTGCTTTTAAGGACAAGCGAATCAACCCAGATTTCGGGAGTTTCCAGAAATCTTGACCTACCTACACCAAAAGTGGGCATTGCCCTACCTATAGGAGAAGTTTGGTTTCATTGGTGTGTATATTTGTTTGGTTATAGAAAAATCTCTCCTTGTCTTTTAAGGACACTGAACAAGGGGCAAAGACTTTACATTCAATTTTCTCAAAACAGCATTTTTCGGGATAGCCCCCTTGTCCTTAAAAGCGACCAATTGTACTCGTAGCTTAAGGATGGCCCATACTTACAGTACTTTTTCTTATATGAACAAGTGACACAATGGTTGTTATAGTTATATATACCACTGCCTTCTTGTCGTCCATCGTTCATCTCTAAATCAAAAGGGGCATCTAAATGGGGCTCTCGTGGCCTAGACGTAAAGGTGTTCGCCTCTCTTTCGATAGGTCCTCGGTTCGAATCAGGATAGCGATGGGAAAATTCTCTTCTCTAGAATTGTCTCCTCTCACCTCCGTTCCTGCTCTATAACAATGTTCTACCGTCTGCTTTCGTTTTCACTTTCTGCCCCCACCGCCTACCTAACCTCCTTTGCCCCCTCCTCTGAGCTCCCGACTCTTTCTGCAGCCTTTCTATTGCTACTCCGTGGCTCCTTCTTGTTGCTTTTTTTCAGCCACACCCCTGATCTTATGGTAGGACAGATCTACACCTAGCCTTCTCGGAAAACGACAAAAATTTTCGGAGATTCCTTGTGCAAGTTGCGTACGTTAAAGATCCCTTGATGGTCCAAAATCGATTAAAGTAGGCTTCGGCCGCCACCCGGGTAAAATTCAAAATTTCCTACCAACTGAAATAGTTTAATGTGTCCCGCGTGCTCATATGACCTTTTGCAGCTGCAAGCGCTGTAAAACACTTTGCAAAAAAAAAGGAAAAAAGTACATCTAGTATGTATAGTATAGTATAAGGTTTTACGGCGCTCGCAACTGCTAAGAAAGGGCATCTAACTGGATATCCCAGTGTTTAGTGTGAAGGCTCCTGTTCGTCGCAGGCCCTCCAAACTCCCGTTAAGTACATGTATTGTGTCTCTCTTTTTGTTAAAAGATAAAAATAAAATAAGATGCATTGATTCCCGAGAGAAATTAAACTGTTGTATTTTTAAACATTCACGTCGTGTTTTACTATCGTATCCATACGACGTGAGGAATTCTGTGCCACCACTTTCCCAAGAGAGCATTTAATCGTTAATCCGATCAGTACGCTTTACATAGCAGTCTGTCAAAACGATTTTTTTAGAAATGCTGAAAGTTTCAAAGAGATCTTCATACTAGAAGTATTCTAAAATGTGAAGACTACAACCCGGGGTACAAAATGACCCCAGGACGTACGGATAGGGTAAAGATAACGACATAACGACATTATGACCACGTACTAATGAGTCTAACGACATAACGACATTATGACCAGGTACTAATGAGTCTAACGACATTATGACCACGTACTAATGAGTCTAACGACATTATGACCACGTACTAATGAGTCTAACGACATTATGACCACGTACTAATGAGTCTAA